AGGAGGGAGCGCATTCGCGGCTGGCGGCGGAGGCGGGGTCTTCGTCGAAGGAGGACATTGCGAATTGTGAGGGGGCGGTGGTTCCTGGTGAATACGGAGCTGATATGGGGATTCGGTTTGTTCGATGTTCTGGTTTTCGATTCTTGATGTCTAGATATAGATGAGGTGATGAGGTGGGTTGCACTTCTCGACTTGGGTAGGATTGTTTGTTTGGGTCTTTGGGTCACGGCGGGTTTTCTTTGAATTAGATCACCCAAGTCATTCAGGGAAACACCATAGCATGCTACCGCGTAGTATTTGATTTATAATCTTCAATATGGATCTCAGATATTCTACATAGACTTCTATTGCCACTAATTTTCTGAAAATCAATATGCTAGAAACCAGTCAGTGACCGCTTGAGTACTCCATGTCCCGAGGCCAGGCCAGCTCCTCTTATGGACCACAAGATTCGTTTTTGCAGGGAAGAACAGATACATGAACACAAAATAGTCGAATAATCCACGCCCGAGTAATTAGTACACTCGACGCTGACCTCCAATGACGGGATGGATCAGAACTGGTCCGCTAATATAACCGAAATCGAAAAACGCCGTCTTCTGCAATAGTGACAGTAATGAAAGGGAAGATGAAACTGTCGCGTCCTGGAGTCGAAATGAATATGAAAAGGCCGAAAATCACTCGCAAAGCACAGAGTGTCCGAAGACAGGATTCGCACTGTCCTAGAGAACCGAAAGAAAGTCCACAATCACCTTGAGCAAAGCAGAATGTAAAAATAAAAGCCAACGGGATAGCTCTAGACACGCCAAACTCCAAGTTAATAGGTGCAACAGAATATGAACGTTCGAACACAGATCTTCATGCCGTCATGATCATGAAAGTAACCTCACTCAGAGGTCTGAAAGCACCGCTCAGGCGGTTTGTTGTTTTGTCGCAAAGGATCAAAAAAGCGTATAGTTGTCGTCGCGAGCTCATGGATCAACCAGCTAAAAGTCTCCGTCATGATGAAGCGTAACACTATTGAACTCCTCAAAAGGATCGGCCACCTCTCCGTTGGGCGTGGCAAGGCCAGATTCTAGAGGGACGCCCTTGGGCTTCGAAGGCCCGCCGATATCGACACTTGCGCTCTCCTTGACATTGCGGAAATTCGCCGTGTCCGTTCCGCGACTCTGGTGTGGAATCATTGGCGGTTTCATATGGCGGATGAGCGCCCATTGCGTCTGCCGGAAGAAAGGATGAGTCTTGACATCCGATGCCCCAGCTCGAGCGCCAAGACGCTTTGTTTCATCCTTGATCAGCAACTTGCGGATCAGGGACTTGCATAAACTGTAAATGAAAATGTCAGCTGGGACGATCGAGGGCAAGACTTCACTTGATAGCAGGCTTACTTCGAGATCTGCTGCGCTCCCGCATGCTCTGGAAATTGCACTTCGTCCCTCAGGATGTTTCCGAACGTCGCATTCCTATTTTTGCCCTTGAAGGGCGTGGTCCCGTAAAGCATCTCGTAGATCAAGATACCCAGAGTCCACCAATCCACCGCGCTGGTATGTCCGCAACCCTTGATGACCTCCGGGGCAATGTACTCTTCAGTGCCAACAAAAGAGTTTGTTCTGAAGTCGGCAATACATGACTTGGTGTCAATGGTGGGTAACGACGAGGCGGAGTTGCCGCTGCGCGCAGGAATCATAGTAGGGGCCCCGCCTGGTCCAGATTGTTTGGACAGATCGAAGTCTGACAGCATGATGTGGCCAGACTGGTGCAGAAGAATGTCTACCAAGATACCATCATTAGCAACAAGCGATCACTGATATTGGATTACGTTTCGGGAAGATGACATACTTTCTGGCTTTAAGTCCCGATAGATGAATCCCATGAGATGGAGGTATTCTAGAGCGGCAGTGACTTCTGCTGCATAGAAACGGGCGGCATCCTCCGATATGCACTTTCCTGGGCGTGTTTGAAGTGCTGCGCAGTATGTGATTAGTAGTAGCTCTGGGACAATTGCACAGGGTTGCACACCTCGAAAGAATTCACCGCCGCTGCAGTACTCCATACACAAGTAGAGGTAGTCCTCGGACTGGAAAGAGTGGTACAGAGTCACAATGAACGGATGGTTGCTCGTAGCAAGAATTTCCTGCTCGGCCAGGGCGCGCTTGATCTTGTTTCTCTTGATCATCTCCTTTTTACTCAAAACTATTCGGGCACATTAGTTTATGTTTTCCAGTAAGTCCAAAGCAATCAATTGGATGGCATTGCATGAACGGCAGAATCGCGGAAGTTTACCTTTCATCGCATACAAGCGACTCGACTTCTTCTCACGAACAAGGTAGACCTTGCCTACATCTCCCTTGCCGATCAACTTGATCTTGTCGAAACTGCTAGGGCCAACCTCCACATTCCGGACCTTGATCGAATTCGAACTATACGTCCTGCGGAAGGCAGCCGTGTTTCGAATCTGACCGGGACTCGGGATCTTGCTGTCCGGGCCCAGTTTGGGTATGGCAAGTGTACTAATATCACTGTCTCCAGAGGCTTCTACCAGGCTAACTTGAGACTGAGTGGGCCCGGATTGTTCGAGTAGAGGCTCTTTACCCATCTCCGCGGTCTGAGGACGTGCATCAGACTGACCTTGCGTGAAAAGGCCTTGTGCATTTGGCGCGGAGGCAACCCGGCGAAGCTTCCGCGCTAATTCCTCCTTGTTGGCTGTCGTAGCCTGCTCAGCAGCAGAGACACCATCCACCTGCAGTTCAGGGGTGTCGGGAGGAGAGGAGGGGACTGAACCGTCGTTGCGATGCTGCAAGGAAGGCTGACCCTGGTGAACAAAGTATGGATTGGCAGTAGCAGTGGGGGAGACGCCTTCATCGAGCGGGTTGCCTTCACTTGCGACGGTGGTTGAGCGATTGCGACCGATAGTAGGTAGGAAACGGGATTGTCTAAAAGTCGACTTCGCTTCCATCTTGGCGCCAGTGGACGGGCTGGCGTCTCGGTCTCGTTCTCGGTCGCTGCTGGAATGAGAAGTGACATTGCTGCTGGAACTATTGATGCGGAAGAAATTCTTTATCCTTGTCGGGAAATGGCTCGATTCGTTGTGTTTTTTGGAAGCCAGGGATAGACCGGGGAAGTTCCCACGTTTCTCATTCGTCACACCGGACGGACTAGAAGCGAAAAGCTGCGTCATGCCGGTGGTTAGTGATGTTGAAAGATACCACCAAACGTCCACCAGTACGTTGCTATCGAAAGAGCGAGGAAATCCAAAAATCGCCCGAGCAAGAAAGGAAGATGAAAATGCGGCACAGTAGGATAGACGAAGGGCGAGCCGTGTGGGAGGGCGGCCTGCAACGGACTGGAAACCGCGGGGACAACGTTGGCGGTACAAAGTTGTTGGTTGGTTGAAGGTGCCCAGGAAACTCGCTTTAGAGGGACGTGCACCCTGGAACAAGAGAGGCCGCGGGGACGATTTGCATGGGTGGAAATGAGATGTCAAAATATCTCTAAATGACTGATAGAAATACTTTTAAACGAGAGACAACAAGAATCCTTCGATCGTCCGAAGAGGATGGATGTGACAGAAGGGGACGAGGGATGAGGAGAGGTGAGGGAGAGAGAACAAGAAAGAGGGAAAGCGGAAGTGGAGACGTGGAGGGATTCCAGGCTTAGTCAAGGCCTTGGAGATGGTGAAATGGTGAACTAGTGAAACAAACTACCTTTTCACTCCATAGACAGCCGCATTATCGAAGTTTGATGGAAGAATGATAGAAGATGAATCCAAAGAGTTCATCTAATAGCTGGTACCTCTAATAAGGATCGATACCACCGCAATGGAGACAATGGAATTATCCAAACCCCAAACCCCAAATATGAGCGATCCACCAGACGTATCCAACGTCCAGGCATCCACTAGAGAAGTATCTATGTATCGAACTATGGACTATTATTTCTTGGATGTTGTCGCCACTCGGCCATCGAAGCCAATCAAAATGCTCAATGCTGTTCGCCTCTTGGCCACGGATATCAACCCAATTCAGCAAAAGGTTAAGTTTTCTCATTCCAATGAACCCGTTTGAACTGAGATAGACACGTAGATTGGACAGGCACACTCTTCATCACATTGGCCAAATCTTGTCTTTGCTTTACCTTTTCTCTTACGGAAAATAGCATAGACGGGACAGAAAAGACAGAACGATCACAATGAGTCTAGGTGACACTGGCATCCAAAGATCGAATATCTACCAATCCATTCGCCAGTGTGGCCAATCTCGAATTGAAAAAGCGTCAAAAGACTGGTACCTATGACGGAGTACGTGAGGCTGCGTAGGTACCACTGCGTCTCTGTCTATATGTGGGGAGAACTTAGTAGGGAGAAGTCGAGACTCTCAAATCACAATACTCTTTGGTGGACCTTCTTCCGTTTGGTATCATGCAAGGGGGCCCGGTTTTCCGTGCTTAACAGTGGACCTTTTGGCGGGCACCATGGCAGCCCAGAACGCATTCCATCAGAGCAGTCTTGGTGATTCTACCTTGGAATGTACAACCAAGTTGCGGAATGTGTACAGACGATGCATTATGAATGAACTGCACGAAAACTCGAGGACACTAACTGATGACGCAGAGCTCGCTTTCCGTTTGACTTGGGCTTGTGGGAAGCTACTCGATCAACCTAACAAACTACCGTGTATAAGAAAGTGCTAAACTCCTGCCTGGAAACCATGGTGCTAAGTACACAAGACGTCCTGTCGCGAAGTGATGTTACTAGCTTCAAGAGACAGGGCCCTCTTGAGGGCTAATCCAATAAGCCTGCTTGAGAAGCCATCCTAAACTATGCAGAAACTGATTATGCTATGATCGAACACCAATTAAGCGAAGTCTGACATCCCGAGCACCTGTGGGTGGCCTTTCTGAATCGTTGTCTTATGGCCTGAACAGCCGACGTCGTGATTCCAGATGTACTCGCTTGTTCTTGGTAAATACTATAGACCACAAGCCCCCATTGCACATGATTGTCAAACTTTTCCCAGCTTTGCGTTCCGGGCCAGGGTCTGCATTCTGTCGTCACCATGACTGATATCGCTCAAATAAGGCCTGCTCAGCATGCCTTCAACACCAGCGAGGAACGCATGGGCATTGACATTTTGAGACACTGCCAATGCGGTAGTTTTCTGAACAAGCAAGCCGTGATCCTTGTTCAAGTACTGTGTGAGTAGCTGGGAGTTGGCCTGCTTCGCATCGACAGAGCTGGTTTCTTCACTCAAATCAGTCATACTAGTCGCTGACGTAGAAGGACGCGGTCCATATGCGATTGTGCTATGCGACTGCGAACTCTTTGAATTTGACCCACTAGCATTTGAAAGCTGCGCCGTGTGCACCGTGTCTAGTGCGGCAGCGAGGTCGGGACAGCGTGGACTATGGCAACGAGTTCACATGTTTTAGCACAACTGGGCCTATTGGTATAGGGGCGTCCTTACCTTTCCTGATGCGTCTCCAAATCGTTTCCGCTCTGATTGCCGTGGAGCGAGTCGCCGCCTACCGAACGCTTGCTGGTTTCGTCAGCGATAATACTCTTGGACTAGGCGTGGCAGGCATAGAGAAACGCTTACTCCTCGCTACGACCAGTAGCCCATGAATCTGTTGTCGATGTATAAGATGACGATGACTTGCTATCAGCGTCGTCATCTGCCTTGAAAGACATCTCGCCACGCCGGATGAGTGCTCGCTGGATTGGCATTTCAGATGCCCAAGGTCTTCTGAGATGTGGTACGACCGGCCTGTAAGTGCCAACGTCTTTGATCAACTCCATGGACGATCTCCTTTGAAGATACGACTGGACTTTCGCGATTTTCTCACTGTAGCTATGGCTGTCTGGCAATGTCGATTGTATTGGGGCTCGTGACAGTCCTTGAATCAGTCCGTTGGCAGCATCAACCTTTCGCGTGGCATCCCCAATCATTTGCTCTGGACTACGGAGTTCGGAGGATGACGGTTTCGAAAAGGCCGTCCAGCCGTTGTTGACGCCTGTCTTTTCTTCTCTCGCCCTACCTTCAATGAGATCTCTAGCTCGTGTATTGGCCCTGGACAGCTCCGCTCCCGAGTTGGACTTCCGATTGCGTTGGGACGTCCTAGAGGCCATCGAAACATTCCACCCAGAGGATAAATTTTGAAATTCGAAATAATTGTCCAGACTTCCCGCATTTTGACTGGCCTGCCACTGAAAATACGGGTCTACAGGCTGATCGACCGGGAGAACTGGTGGCACCGCACTGACCGGCGACAGCATGTGAAATCCAGGTATCGCATATTGTGAAGCAGAAGAGGGCGTTTCTAGATGGAATTGATTGGTCACCACTCTTTGAGGCAAACAATTGTTCGATTGTGCTGCGACGCCAGCTCCCTTTTCCCTCTGATTCCCAGGTTCGTTCGAGACGGTGAGGGTCACTTCCAACTGTTCTTTGTACGAGCGCACCACATCTAACTCCCGCACCAAACTCTTTCGCTGTTCAACCAAGGACTTCTTCGCGCAGGGATCCATATCCCAGGTATGCATGGCCATGTATCTATCGAGACTTGTAAGCTGAGTTGAGAGAGCTGCATAATCGACCGAAATTTGGCTCAGAGATTTGCGCAATGAAGATTCCAGGAAAGGCCCCATTGAGAATAGTGGCTGATTGACAGCCGCCATTTGACCGCCGACTTGATGATACCCCTGCGGTGCATGGTTTGGAACAAACGAGTCCAGGATTGACGAAGATTGGCTGATGGTCGAAGAGTATCCACCGATCATACTGCTGCATGGAGCTATATCCGATGGCGTAACCAGGCCTGAGGTCTGTGCCTGCAATGCGGACGACATGAGAGGAATGACGTTCGATGCGCTTAAACCTTGCAAAGATGGAGAAAAGGCGAACGGATACCCCGCGAGACCATACATAGCATAATTCTGCAGCGCTGGAGCATGAGGCTCTTGAAATTGTGGTTCAAATTGAAAATATTGTTGGCTCATCAGCGGGAAGGCCGCATTGGGCTGCGAAATCATGGAAGAACCTAGTGCAACCGGTGCTATAGTCGGAATCAACGTCGAAGCTGAGATCTGTGGCTCCGATTTGTCATTCATACTTATACTTGACAATCTCGCATGTGTCGCCAGTATTCCTTGAGGTTGCGGAGATGACGAGTCGGCACCGGCATGAGGGCAAATATCCTCGGACCGTGCTCTCTTGTCTTTGGCCTTGGCCCTGCCTTTACCGATTGTCGTAGTCGAGGATGTACCACGATCATCTTTGGTTTGGTCAATCGCTGACAGTTTCATCTGAGGTGCAGAGCCCTGTGAATCCATCGGAACGATTCGGCCACCAGCAGTGACACGTTGATGTTTAGGTGACGCGTGCTCCTTGAGAAATCTCGCGAATCCAGCATCAGCTTGAGCCAGAGCCCCTTGTGGAGGATCACTTGGCTGGCGCCTAGGGTGGCGTAAACGAGGCCCCGAGGTTGAGTGGGTTCCCTGACTTTGACGCGATCTATTTGACACGTTCCTTGACCCGTTGACTGGACGCCCAGACAAAACACTTCTATCAGCTTTGTGTTGGCGGAGCAAATTATCTGGATGACATAAACCGTTAGCATTACCGAGCTTATTGTGCTTGAATGATGACTGCAAAGGCACATACAACCCAGTGCCTGCGCGCTGAATCGACCAAGGTCTATGTGCACATTCTGGCTCATTGCCAGCAAAGTTGGGATGTCATATCTCATTTTCCGAGTTGGGCAAATTGTACTTAGGGGACGTCCAAAGGAAAAGATCAACAAACACGAGACGTGTCAGAGCAGTATGCGAAGACAAGATACGAGAGAGCCTTTCCTGTGATGTCGTGATGTCCTTGTTGGTTGTTCTGCGTCGAAGAAACACAACCTGGGTATATAATCGGGCGAATCTAGAAGGTGCATTAGACCCCTGCCAGGCCAGTAAGCAGGTGCTCTCGCGAGGAAGGAGCACGCTTAGATCATGGATATGAAGAACTTGGGTTGTATTATTATCAGGTAGGGAATTATCATCTAGGATAGTAGGTCTCACGTGGCTATTTCATTATATTAGAGATGGCGAGTTCAGGGAATAGATCACCTCAACTTGCGCGACAAGGGCGCTGGCGATCCATATCAAACATGTTCCCGAGCCTGGACTGGCTTAAGGACGCTGTGAGTATTCCAGGTATCGACATGTTCATCTTCAAAAGGAGATGCAGCCGTCCGATTCCCAGCAAGGGTTGACCTCATCTCCCAGCTTCCAGTCCGCTCATGACCACAGACAACTGCTCCTCCAACCCCGAATCTCTCATCGTCTGGGCTCTCCGCTGACTTAACATCCTCGTGCGTAGGATCTTTCGCGGTAAGGTCAGCATCACTTGCCATCTTGCTATTACCCTTGAACCCTCCAGCGCTTGATCTATGCATGCGTCTCATACGAAACCCACGCACTAGGAAAAAAAGTATAGCAGCAAGTGCTAGAGCGACGATTGTAACCACAGCTCCAATGACGCCAGCGATAGCCGGGCTTAACCTGTTGTTGGAGGCAGATGTGTTCGTAGCCCTGGCCATCACTCCGGAACAGAACACAGCGGACGATCCGCATTCGAGGCACCACTGCTCCGTCGAACCAAGAGAAAACCTCTCCATCTGTGCGTGGAACTCGGAGTACGGGATCGCATCATTACTTGGACCGTGCCCAAAAAGTGGATAGGACCGAAATTCGGCGGAAGTGCCTGTTCCGTTACGCAGGAGGAATCGCACGTAGAGCTGGGACTGGTCAGGATATGCCGGGACTGCTTCAGCTTCGAGGCTAAACAGTTCGAAGACGAGCGACGCTCCGAGGTCTGGAGACGAGTAGAAGTTCTCCTGGCTCGACGAGGCGAGCTGCATGAGTGAAGCAAGAGCGACAGCGGGCTCCGAGCCACCAAAAACAAGGCTCATCTTGTTGTTGGCTCCCCGGTATTGGATATTGGCGTCGAAAGCTTCCAAAACATGCGACGCCAAGGTTCTGCCTGCAATTGTGCGGATGTCATTGGATACACTGAGTTCCGACGAGGATAGGTTGCCGTTCGTTGCGTACATATAGTGGTCTGCATACCATCGCGCACGTTCGATATCGTCTCGAGTCAGATGGTGCAACAATGATTTGTTGTGCAATAACTCATATTCAAGGAATTCCGATATGTAGAACGCGTTGGCATAATTGGCTGAGGAGAGATCGTATACTCCACTCAAGGATTGGCGGTACAAGCGGCCGTAGAAGTCTTCCGACTCTTGCGTAAGGTCCTGCACCTCAGGACTGAATTTGTACTCCATGTCAGCGACTTCGTGTAGAGTACATTCAAACTGGCCGTCTACAATGATCGATTGAGGATCTGCTGAGCTCACAGTGATCACTTGAGGATACTGATATCCGTTCAAAGGAGCACGAGACAGCGACCCGTTAGCGAGCACGAAAGACGGGTCATAGAAGTTCCCATCGTAAACCTGGTCAAGAGGCGGATACAGGCCCTGCATGAAAGCTTGGGCCGATGCCACGGCTGGCTGATCGGTACTTGAAAGAACAGAGATCTCCTCGGCTTCTAGTGCGTACGGAGACAGGCTCGGAATTCGTGTTCCCACTCCACTCCCCTCGCTATGTATGGCAACATAGCGGCCGCGAAAGGCGGACCCGGCGGCATACAGTTCACTTGCTCCATAGGGAGTCAACGCTCTGGGGCGAGGCAGAGCGTTCGGGATACTATCCCCGTGAAGTGTATATGCGAAAACCGACCAGACTTGCTCCTTGAGGTCTTCAGCCGCAACCAAGGCAAGAAACTGCAAAGCTGCCGCTGCCAAGAAGAGTTCGCGAGAGATCAACATAGCGATCTGAGAAGCAATTCCTTATCGAATGGTAGGGGTTCAAAGTGCGAGGCTCGGCGCAGTATGAGCTTGACAGGCGACGTTCCAGATGATCTTGTCCAGCAAGCTTGGGGTAGTAGAAGAAAGATGGTCGCTTTCTTCAGCGTATAAGTCAATTGACGGGAGAATTGTAAGCATCCTGTCCAATTTTAAAGTACCAAGGGAAAGCATCGCAAAGACGTCTAGACCCCATTCACGACCGTTGGTATCCAACAGTGCTGGTATGGATGTGACGAAATCAATATCATTGCATCAACACTGGAGTTGTATCAATATAGACAGAGTGCTTGCCGAAGTTACATGTGTGGTTGTCCCACAGGGCATCCTCCTCTGTTCCATGGTCGAAAGGGTTCACGTAGATGTAGGTATGGCCCTCTCGCAAGACAGTTACACTGGCTTATTAGTATGTAGACGATTCTCACAGACTCGTACCCTTACTGCTTCACTCTACGAAATCGAAGCGTAAGAGAGAAATCACCTTTTTCAGCATTTGATGCTTGATGCTCGGCCTCGACAAAGCCGAGATAAATACCACTCACTCAGCTTCGTAGATAAGAGAATGAATTGTTTTGTAGAATTTGTAGTCCAAAGTAGCACGTCAGTCCGTTCCAACTGCAGAGGCATGGTATGGATCAGGGTCAATGACGCGAGTGTCGGTAATGGTAGGTAGCATTCGAACCAAAGTAACCATGTGAGTCCTACTCTGGCACCCTTGACTCGAGATTTCAGCGGACATATTCGGTTTTTACACGCAAGCGAGGCCAGTAAAAGAAGTCAAATGAGTAGTGTAACGCATATGTCGATGAAGCTGAAAGATAAGTTCATTCACCTCTCTAGAGAGTTACCGAATTGGTTAGTTTAGATCCTCAGGCATCAAGACGGAACTCCCAGTCAGCATTTCCAGTCTGTTGTTGCCGCCTGTTCCTCAAGCCAAGGTGGAATTTAAACTGGTAGTTGAGATCAATCTGCCTTGACCATTGAAATAGTAATCTACTCCGTACATTATCGTATGAATAGAATGTGCGAATACGCCTGCAAGGTGGAAGCATTCACAGCTTTCGCCCATCTGATTCGTCCCTCTGACCGCTTCCGGCTGCCGGCGAAAAATCTATCACGCCGTCCCGTCCGTCTCACCTTCTCCCCAAGCCCTACACCTGCGCCCTACCCCTAAGCCCTTATTTCTGCTCTTGGAAGTCAAGATAGTATCTTCTTAGGACCTTGCCTTGTCCAATATGGTAAACACGCGAGGTTCAGGTCCCTCGTCTGACGATCACGTCTCTTCTGAGCTTCCTGCGTCTCCAGCCCTCAAGGTCGAGGACGATGGTAAGTGTTCCTCGTGGCTTATTGCGGACCTGGACCTGCCCGTTCAACATGACACAGGAAGTCATTGTCATTTCTTTCATTTATTTAAACAAATCTGTAGCCTGTTTATGGTTTGAAATTCGATTCTGACTCTGATTCATCTGCAGCTTCCTTGAAGACGTCTCACCCGCGCGAGGAGGACGAGGATGGCTCCCTTTCCCCTCGGGCCTCGAAGAAGCGGCGCATCGAGGCCGAGTCGGAAGGGCTTCTCCTGCCATCTCAAACGACCGAATTGACCGATCAAGCGCCCGGAAATCAGATTGAAGAAGAATTAGTATCCGCGCTCGGTTCTGGAATTGTCGATACTGTGGAACGCCAGAATGCCGGGCAGACTCAGCCGGTCAGCTCCGCGGGAGATCCCGCAGCGCCAGAGGCAAATCCGGAGCTTGACGATATGGCGTCTGTCATCTCAAGTATCATGAACCATGCTGAACGGGTCGAGGAACAATGCGCTATGGGTCAGCAACAATTAACTACTGCGACGACGACACCGACTACCCCTGCGGATCAGCCAGCGCCCAAGGGTCTAGTTTATGTGAAGGCAAACTCGCACTTAAAGATCCAGAGCTTGCCGATATTGGACAATCTGGTAAGAAATGCTTCTTATCCTGTTATGTGCATCTTTTAGAGGTCAACCCTGACACGTTTGCTGTTCAGTCTACCCAAATTCTCTCTCTTCTGGCCAAATCCACTTACCAGGATATTACGTCGTTTGTGGCTGAGCCGGAGTCAGAAAACGGGCAAGCCTATGCGACCATGAGATCCCTCTTTGATCATACAAAAAAAGTGTATTCCTCCAAGGAATCGTTCCTGTCGCCGACTGAACTTGGTCTCACAGAACCTTCCCAAGTTGACATCATCAGAAAAGCAAACCTGGCTTCATTCGTTTCAAGCATCTTTGGCACACAAGAGATTGGATTTGCTGAGTTAAATGAGCATTTCCTGGATGTTTTCGTCCCGGAAGGGGGCCGCCTGTTGAAAGTGCAAGGTGCTCTGTTTCTGGAGCTCAAGACCCAAGCGTTCATAGCCTCCATGAACAACACTGAGAGGACAAGGACCGAATTGCTGTACGACCTGTTTCCAGATGATCTGGAGCAGCGCTTACTTGACCGACGGCCGGGAACTCGTCAGCTAGCTCCTAGTGAGGCTGATTTCGTGAAACGTGCCGGCTCACGCCGGGATATTCTTTTGAACGATATTAACAACGAAGAGGCGATGAAAGCTCTGCCCGATAAGTACCACTGGGAAGATTTCCTCCGAGACCTGAGCTCGTACATTACGAAGAACTTTGATGCTATCTGCCATCAACAGGTTTGTTTTTCTGTGACTCCTATCTATCCTTGCCTTGCTAATGCTGATCAGACGAAGAAATTGAATAAGGGAAGGCAACCATCTTCATCGAGTGGCGAATCACAGGATCCGCCCAGTGCACCCCTCCAAGGCCAATTTCCTGTTGCCTCGCAAGCGCCTGAAGTTCCTGTTGACAAGAATATGCATGGTGACCTGGTAGCCCGTGCGGCACGTGCGGCCCAGATTGCCTTGCAGGGCCATGGATTGAGACGTTCTCAACAACAGCAGTCCCAACAGCAACAGCAGCAGCTCAGTCATCCACAGCAACCAGGACAACCCCAGCAACAGCAACAGCATCAACATCAAAACCAAATGCAGCAGGCTCAGCAGCAACCCCAGCAACATCTACAGCCACAGCAAATGCCGCAGCAGAGTTCTCAACATGCGGGCCAGGCACCTCACGGGTATACTGCAGCTCAGCCCACGGGCCAGCTGCAACCTCAGCAAAACCCACACCAACAGCACTACCAGCATAGTCCAACGCCGCCGGGGTATCAGCAACAGCCCGGGCAGCTCACATTCCAGCAAAGTCCTCTGCAAGCAAACTTTCAACAATATAACCCTGGGGGTCCCGTATCCATGCCGGGGAGACCCAACGGTGGTCATTCATCTAACCATGGTTATATGCCTGGAATTCCTCACTATTCGCAATCACAACCCACTCAGGTACTCTATGAGCGCGCTCGCATGGCGGCTTCGGCGAAATCTTCTCCAAGCAGTCGCAAATCCGGCCTACCAAGCCAGCGCCGCCCCTGGACTACTGAAGAAGAAAATGCTTTGATGGCTGGACTGGATCGTGTAAAGGGACCACACTGGAGTCAAATTCTTGCGATGTTCGGCCCCGGAGGTACTATCAGCGAAGCCCTGAAGGATCGGAATCAAGTGCAGCTGAAAGACAAGGCGCGCAACTTGAAACTCTTTTTCCTCAAGAGCGGTATCGAAGTTCCTTATTACCTGAAGTTTGTCACTGGCGAACTCAAGACTCGCGCTCCTGCTCAGGCCGCTAAACGTGAAGCACGGGAGAGGCAGAAGAAGCAAGGCGAAGAAGATAAGGCTCATGTGGAAGGTATCAAAGGCATGATGGCCCTCGCTGGCGCACATTMGCAGCCCGTTCCGCTCGGACACGGGCACGAGGCGATGTCTGCTTCTCCCGGGCTTCCGGATACTGGCAGCCATTCTACTTTTGATCAAACCGCGGAACAGAACCTGATGCAGACACTGGGCCAGGAGGTCCATGGGGCTCAATTTGGGCAACCTCAACATCAACCAGGTAACGTAGATCCCAACATGCACATAGGGCAGTAAACTGGTCTTTCTTTCTACAAGATATTTCTTCTCTAGCCTGCCCCTAAGGATCGATCTGAAGTCGCTGTGGTTCTTACCTGTCTTTTTCGCTTCTGGTGAAGCATGCTGCTTGTTGCATTGTGTAATAGCATAGTTTGGGTCTGGTTTGGTCTGTAAGAGTAGTATTCAAGCATCTATTCATACATATGTAAAAAATGATTCTGTACTTATATGAATACCATTTTCAGTTGTGCCTATTTTGTAGAATATCATGAAATCTTGCTGTTGCTTTTCCAAGCTCATCCGCATAGTCTAATTGTCCTCGGGCCGAACACGGACAGTATCTCCGCTTGTGCATCACCAACACATGTCGATTCGTTGTACACACCCCAGAAAGGACAGACCTCAGCGAAACATTGTACCCCAATTCTCCTATTCGTCCAACAGGGGTCAACTTTACCCGTCCATTCACTTCCGTCTCTCTTGCTCAAGTCACTAATAACTGATCTGTCACGATGGCCGATTCATCAACTCCATCACAACCTCTAGCGCCGCCTTCGTCGCAACCACCACCTTCATCCCAGATCGGTTCACAAGAGCTTCCATCATCGTCAACACAGGCGACAGTACCAGGAGAGCCATCGGGTGCTTCTGAAACCCCGGTTGTACCCAAACAGGAGCCAAATACAACGGATGTCGCAGCCCTTGACGCCTCCATCGAGCAGGATATCGATATGAGCACCAGCGGCATTACGAACGCTGCAGGCGCAAGCGATGGAGATAATGCGATAGGAAACCCTGTTCAAGATGCGGTGCCTACGTCTGTCGACGCTATAGCAGCGGCAGTGGCGCCATCGAAGAAGGAGACGAGTTTGCGCGAGTTTCTGGGCAAGATGGATGATTATGCGCCTATTGTAGGTCTAGCTTCTTTTCTCATTTTGCTCTTGCCTTACTTTTGACAGCCTTTCTGTCATGGACGTATTGCAAGGCGTATACCCTTGAGACATTCTAACAAGATATAGATCCCAGACGCGGTAACGGCTCACTATCTTACCCTCGCCGGGCTACCACCCCCAGGAAACGGACCGAACCAAACTCCCCCGCATCTGGCCCGACTCCTCGCTCTCGCAACACAGAAATTCATTGCTGATATCGCGGCCGACTCATATCAGTACGCGCGTATCCGAGCCTCGAACAGTTCATCCGCCAGCAACCCCATGGGCAGTCTGAACGCCGCCTCGGGTCTAAACGTACCCGGCGGTGCTGGAGGAGCTGGCGCAGCAGGCGGCGCAGCGGGTGTTGGCGGCGGCGACGCAGGCAAAGMCAAAGCGAACACACATCTAGGCATTCAGCGTCCTGGTTTTGGCGGTGGTGGCTCCGGTGGCTCTGGGCAAGGCCGGACGGTGCTCACCATGGAAGACCTGGGCATGGCTGTTGCAGAGTATGGTGTGAGCGTCAAGAGAGGGGAGTTTTACCGGTAGAGAAGGCTGGGTCCTGGTGACGGAACACATCCGTGATGGTCAGTACAGCCAGCATGCGACCGGGTGTCATCCGCTTGGGCTGATCCTCCATCTGCACGGTCGATAGAAATCATCCACAAGATCTGGATGACTTACGAGAGATTTTGACGTTATATTGCTACGCAGTCTTGGCGAGAGGGATTATGGTGGCTTTTCTCTGGGGAAGGCAGATTTTTCAACTTCATTTGGCGTACATACCGGGTCGAGGACAACGGATATCCTGCATTGGGGGTTTCTTATATTTCGAAAAGAATTTTCCTTTTGTGAACTTTGCACGCAGGCGTTTTTGGAAGGCTGAATGGGACACATATTCATCGGTGTCCACCTCAACAAGTATACAATTTAGTGCGTCCTGATAATCTCGAATAAAATGAAAATATTGATTCTCGCAAAATCCAAATAACTCCAACACAGTAACCGCTATTTTTACAATACAGATATGTGTAGATGTATACGTCCCGCCTGTAGTAGACGGAAGAGCGTCGACAGGGACACGAGACCGCAGAAGAGCGAGATCTGCTACCCTCACAGTAGATATCCCCTGCCTGATGATTCTCAAGCACCCGCCGTAGCAGTACGAATCACAATCCCATCCCATAATGCTGCTCACCCCAGGAACAATGCCCGTAAGCGCCAGATCTCGAAAAAGCAGCGATAAGAACCATCGAACCGTATCCCCGTACCCCACCAGAATCACTTATTTGTTCTTGGACTGCTTGTACGTGAACCGCTTGCGAGTACTGCCAACGCAAACCGTCAGCTTCTGCTTCTGCCTCTCATCCTGATTGTCGGAAAGTCTGTAAAACTGAACGGGGCATCAAACATACGGAACATATTCGCCCAGCTTCCTCCCCACCATATCCTCCGTAATCAAAACATCCTGGTACGTCTTGCCATTGTGCACCGCGAACCGCAGACCGACGAAATTAGGCAGGATTGTGGCTCCGCGCTTCTGTGTCTTGATCGGGGGTGTGCCGGGAGGAGGGGGGAGCTTTCGCGGGAGAGGGAGACTGTCGAGGAAAAAATTGAGCGTCAGCTTATACAATAGAATCGATCAAACTCATTTGGAGCTGTCTCTGCGATCCTGCGGCGGGTATATTCAAGCTAGGACATGGAGATAACGTACGGCACAATGTTCGGGCCTGCAGTGATGGTAGCGGAATTAGCCATTACCCCTTCCTTCGAGACGTATGGATTAAACAGGAACAATCTTGGAAGACTTACCTTTCCATACTGATCGCCCCAGCAGAGCACGAGTGGGCAACATCTTGTCGATACACGCTGCTCAACAAGTCTGAGACTCCGGAAGTTGAGGCGCAAATTGATGCTTTTCGGATGGCTGATTATGTAAGCGAATATACTTAAGATGCTCAAAATACCCTGTGGTTACGGACTACAGAGAAGAGGTCTAAACTCTGAGAAAATATAGCTATTATTGTTTTCTATCTATTATAGCCATTGACTGTGATTGCCAGCTGTTATATTTTTCTTCCCCAAGCAAGCTTTCATCGTATATTGAGAGCATTAAGCAGAGCCAATAGCTTGAATATCTTCTGATCCAGAAGCCGCCAGCGACTGTTGGATAGAAAGATCCCGTATTTTTGAATTTTATTTGATGTGCTCATTCCGTAGCAAGCTCATCAAGCAGCCTGATTAAGCTCCGGACTCCCATGAGGACGTTTTCGTCCGGTCCCTGACCGGGCGTCCAACTGGCGTGCGCAAAGTCAATCAGGCGGAGGTCATGCACCTTAGGAGGTTCATCCTCATCCTCCTCGTCTTCGAAGTCTATTTCTCCTAATTGTGCCGTTTCTGAGTCAAGGTTGATATTGATTGCCTGCTGTGGTATTCCGTCTTGTCCAACGTCTAGGTTGAAGACTTCGAAGGAGCCATCTTCCTGCAGGGCCAGATCAAAATCTTCGACCTCTTCATCCGACTCTTCTGGCGCTCTGTCCCTGGGATTCTTTTCTTCTTCTAGTGCTTGTTCCATGGCCTCTGGGTCACCTTCGTAGACAATGAGCACACTTGCAGAATACATCCTGCTCTCTTCAGACTCCAGGATCGACTGCACACGCCTCAGCTCGTCAGCAAGTCTCCTGGCGATTAATTTGGACCGATCAACAGCGCCGCCCTTTGCGCCGGCGAGGAACGTCTCAAAGCCTTGTTTCACATTCTTCTCATTAAAAGACCGTCCGTACCACTTGTCATAGCGCTTGTAGCCGTCCTTTTCAACGACTTCACCCCTGGCACCCTCGAGTCCCTCATGTTTGGTGGCGTATGGATTGGTCTTGCTGCCCTCGTCCGTCTCCCCATGAGCGCCGGTCCAAATCTTCATCCCGGCAATGCGAAACCCGAGACTACCGCTGGTTGTCTCCTTCGCCACAGCTTCCAGCTTGGCGCGCTTAGCGGGAGGCGCGTCATCAGCCCAAAGTCGCGCGCCAAGCTTCACATCCAGGACATTTGGGCGTTTGAACCCAGAGGCGACATTCTCCAGGACTATTGACAGCCCCGTTTCGAGCTTTTTCCCACCAGAGGGAACCCAAGTTTTGTTGTCAGCTGCGCCATTCGAGCCTAATCCAGCATTCAAACCAAGTTCCGGCGCCTCCGCTGTGGTCGGCGTGGCGGATGATGATGATGAGTCGTCCACGGTTGGTAGAACAATAGCTCCACTCTGCTGAGCAGCAGCGAGCGCGAAGGGGCCTTGCTGGTCAGCAGACGATAAGGTTCCGATGTAAGTGGGAATGAACTCCCGAAAGGCGGGATGGAGGGCGCTAGATTCGTAGAACGCAACTTCTTGGGGAGTGCAAGGTTTCGCGATGAAGGAACCGGAGGGAGTGCAACGCACGCCGTCACTGTAGAGAAAGGTGTTAGACCAGTCATGCGACCTCTGCATACGCGCACAAAGCGCACTGCGCTGACAACGATTGGATGCTCAATGCAGGATAATTCAGCCGCTAGAGAGGCTGAGATATGCTGACGTGGGCAAGGAAGGTGGGCCGAGTGCGATGGGATACTTACTGTCCAGCAGCGGCGTGGTCGAAGTCGACAAAGCTGTCAGTATCGAGCTTGGGTGTTTTCACACTGTCGGACCTGGAAGACGACGGCATGTTGTTCGCGAGAGAATATACTGTTGCACACCGGAGCGCCGCTAAATCTCATTCAATCCTCATTCCGGAAGGTGCCTTTGACAGGTAAGGAGGTATTTCGAGGCCGCGATAGGGATGTGGGAAGTAGTCGAAGGTGAAAGAGAAGAAGTCGTAGATAGAGTGTCGTCAAAAAGAGATGGTAGACTTAAGGAGTGAAGAAAGGGAGAGACAAGACAAGTAAGTTGTACTTCAGTCTACGGTTGAAATACAATCATGATCGGCATGACTGACACAAGGGGGAATAAATGCCTAGGAGATGATTCGAAATAATAATACCGCTCTAATGGTCTGATGGAGTCGTTGTCACCTTTAGTGTCTTGGTTCGAACAACGGTCAGTTTTGATAAGAAGTGATCGGCGGCTGTGATTGCCGGCTCAACGCGGGCCGAGGACCAGTTAACTATTCTTTGGGAGGGCATCATATCTGCCGCTTTCGGTTGAGGCTAAGGGTTTGTCTCTCCTAGGCCTTCGAGCAGATTCAATATACGCCACACTTGAGTCCTATTTCGCTCTTCATCGTTATACTGGGATGTTGTGGGTATATATATTCCGTAATCAGGAAAGAAGTAGAGTGTGTTTCTAACTATGAAGCCATTATTTCTTGCAACTCCCACATCTACAAGGGTATGCTGTATGTGTAACCGTCAGTGATATCAGCTTGTAATAAAGTATTTATTTTATATGGAATAATCGGCCTTCTCGTGCCAATTCTGAAACCTTTTCAACCGGCCTTGTCGTCTTTCTAGCACATATTACCAGAGTGGACGATCAAGTCGATAATTTTACCACTCGAACAATCCAGTCCTTGAGTAAGATGTGTGCAACCAGTCTAGCGGGAGTAAAGAATCATTACTAGACCCTTTTACACTCTTGTATTCTAAGCATATAAATGAATGATTCCATAGAGTAATAACGAAGGGCTCATTAAGATACAGACAGGTTAGCTAGTTCACTGCCAAACTGGACCTTAATTAAACTCAGCCACATAGACTACATTCTAATAAAGCCCTCAGAAGAGCCTATCAAGGCTTCAGACATACCAGGGTAAAGTTAGTTAAGATCTCAATGAGGTCCTAGACTGCTATTAGTATAGTAAGTGAAAAGCAAAACAAGTTCCTTGATATAGTTTACATCGACCATTCAATAAGGGAGACGAGGGGGTTACTATAGAACCAATTTCGATAGGTCTAAGAATTTGAAAGCTACACTACGCCCCTTCAGTAGTCTAATTGACTGAGATAATTGCCAGTCTGACAAGAGAATGAAACACAAAGGACGGGGCGGATGTGGTTGAATCCTCTGGATGGTATCACATCTGCCTCTTTTGGTCTTCTCACTTGCTTGGTTTCCCATATTAATCAATATGTTATTATAGGCGCAGCTGAATTATCCCAATCATCGTAGCCTGGGATCTGCTAGATGTCTTCCATATTATCCTCAAAAAGCCTGCTTGAGGCACCACAGCGAACAATGAAGAAGCTGGAGGTGTACTCTGTTTGCCGGTGAATTGCATGAATCAAACAGACTGAGAAGCCGTTGGACTGTTGGAGGGAGTGTTTTGCTTTCTCCTACCAAGTACTAGTGAATTGAATCCTCTCTCTCTTTAACACATTCATTGACTATTTCCCATCCCCCGTCGATGTGATCTTCCTCTCACCTTTGTATCAGCTTGATCTAATCTTCCCTTCTATCTCGTTAGCAAACGATCTCATCCAGACCCCTCATGGCAATGGAGCCTCCAGAAATTTCCTCGAACTCTTCTCGCGAGCTCCCTCTTCGACCTCTCGAACAATACAACAACCCAAGAACTGAGCAGCTAAACATGGCTACTTCTACAGAACGTCAGACAAGCAAGCCAGTTGAACAGACTCCGCCTCTGTCAGAAGCAAATGATAGTCAAGAGAAACTAGAGCCTGTCCCTGTTAATATGGTGGAGTCAAAGAAGAAAAGGAAGAAAACCACCAGACCGAAAGGCAAACGCGGCAAAGTAGGACCTTTGCACTTGGCCGGATGACGTTACGAATGAAACTGTTACTTACACTCTGCAGAACAAGCCGACAGGGTTCGAAGAGTACTACGTGGATGCCCCTATAACACCCCAGGAGTATGCAGAGGGGCGAGAGATATATGATGTGTATGTGACTGATACCATATCAAAAGACGAGTAGACTGACAAGCGTTCAACTATATAAAGCTCGCGGCCTATCATTCAGTAAGCTCCCCAGAACGACTAGGATTCATTGATTTGCAAATCTAACGACCCTAGTCGAATGGAAGATGCTATTCTACGCTTCCAGAAGAAGCGGCGCATTGAAAGTGACAGACGCGAGATATTCTTAAAGTACCTGCAATATGGAGGCGTCGACATCAGTCAGAAGATGTTCACGGGTACGGACCAACGTGATCTCAAGGAGATGGACAGTGAGGATATCCTCCTGGCCAGGGCTCAGACAAGCATCGCGCAGGAGAAATTGAACTTACAGATTGACTTCAACGCTGTGGTCAAGGGCTACCTGTAAGCTTTCACGGCAACACAATACTGCGACACCATAATGAGACTGACGGCCGAACAGGACATCCTACTTCCCGTACTACTTCAACCCTGAAACCGAGAACATGGTCAAGCTGGCCACAGTCACGATTTGGAACTTTCTCACGTACATCCTCTACCACGACGTAGTCCCAGAGTACAAAGCGAACATCGAGGAAGCCAGGAAATCCTGCGACATCGCCGGCAAAGAGCTCTGGAAAAACCAGCAGTTCACAGCCAAAGGACCCGGAGACTTCAATACCGCTTGCTCTACACTCTTCGGCGGCGTCTTCTTCGACCTCCACGTTGAAGACGACCAGTGGAACAACAGCAAGGACGATGCAGTGCACATGACCAATGAGATCGCCCGTAAAGTTGTCAAGTTCGCGCTGGCAGGCGCCGGGGTTGATAGACAGGCCCTCCGATTGCAAGAGCTTGCAAATCAAGACGCACTACGGGCGATACGGGTCGAAGATATCGATGGCTTTGAAGTCATCGCCATCATCTTTCCAGACGACGAGACTAGGGAGTTTTACAAGGCACACGCTCCAGATCTCCACCCAGTTGGAAGAATGCTGGCAAAGGCCTACCGCGACCCCGGCAAGCCCAACATTGACCTCAGCCCTGAGGAGAGACTTCAGTGGGAAGCAGGCGGTGCACCAGCATTGGAGTTTGACTTCTTCCTTGAGGAGAGTCTGCTGAAGTTGTGCTACCCTGGCATGAAGGTCATAACGTCGGTTTGGGAACTCAACTGTGGATTTCACTACTTCGATGAGGTGTTCACAGCCTACTGTTCTATCTACACGGTCTTGGCCAACGATTTGATGATAGGTTGGAAGAAACCGAAGGATTTGCGGATGGACGGCGACCATGAAGCTGATGAGACTGATGAGGAAGGCAAGGATCCAAAGGAAAAGGAAACAGGGGGTGACCACGCTGCCGAGCCGCGAATCTGATCTTAGTTTCTTGCGTAGCAGCAGCATACGTGGTAGACAATTCGGTGGATCTTAATCAGAAAATCGACAATTTTCCTCAAATATATACACACCTAAATTCATGTTTCTGATCGGATAAGCAGATCATGGCTTCAAGAGAGGTTTTCCCGTAGTCTTCCTCCCCTCAAGGTCGATATGCGCCTGTTGAACCTGCTCAAGCGGGTAGACCTTGTGGATTCTGACCTTGAGCTGGCCAGACTGGAGCAGGTTGAACAGCTCATTGACATAGAATTCAAATTCTTCGCGGGTCTCAATGTAGCCGAAAAGTTGAGGGCGGGCAACCTTGACACACTTGGGGGAGAGTTTACTGTCCAGGTCAGTCCGTGTCCAAACAAAGTAATAATGCGAAGGACCCAACTTACTTCAGAGGTAGAGGAGGAACGGGTCCGCTGGCATTTCCAAACCAGACAATCGTACCTTTCCTCTTGACGACCTCCAAACTTCCTTCCCAGGTATCCTTTCCGACAGAATCATAGACGACGTCCACGCCTCGGCCGCCGGTGATCTCCTTCACCTGCTTCACCCAGTCCTTTCCCCCTTCGCTGCGGTAGTCAATTACATGATCCGCACCGAGGCTCTTAACCAGCTCGACCTTCTCCGGACCACCAGCAGTACCAATAACATGCGCGCCGATCGTCTTGAGGACCTGCGTCATGAGAAAGCCGGCACCACCCGCGGCAGCGTGCAGAAGAACCCAGTCGCCCTTCTGCACGGCATAGGTCTCCTTCGCTAGCGACAAGACGGTCAGCCCGCTGAGGAACGATGCCATGACATCCTCATCTGAGATGCCGTCGGGGATTTTGACCGTCTTGACCGCGGGGACAGCAGTGTACTCCGCATATCCGCCGGTGCTGAGCCAGGCGACACGGTCACCGACCTGGAAGTTGTACGGGTTTGGCCCGGGTCCCAGAGCGACGACGGTGCCGGCGCCTTCGCGGCCCAGGACTTCAGGCTTCGGGGCGGGGTAGAGCCCCGTGCGGAAGTAGGTGTCGATGTAGTTGATGCCGGAGATGTTGTTTTTGACGAGCAATTGGCCCTCTTGCGGGCTGGGGACGGGATAGTCGGTTTTGAAGTCGAGGACCTCGGGGCCGCCGGTCTTTTCGACCAGGACGGCTTTCATGGTGGTTGGGATAGACATGATGCGTGATTGTGATGAGTTTGTGAATGAGGCTGTCGGCCGAAATGACGGTTGGAGATGAGAGCGAACACCAGAGAGACGGACGAGTGCGGGAGATGTGACCGCGAGGGAATTATTGAGGCGGGAGATGAAGGCGCGGGAGAGATGCATTCGATGGGAGGTGAGGATAGTGAGGTTATAAGTATGGATTACAGAAACCTTCTTTGGCGATCTATCATCGTCTTATAGAAGAGCATTTGTCATCGCGACTACTATTTCTTTGGTTATATCCGATATCTACAAACATTCCCCGCAGTTCCCCCACTATGGAGGCATTTGCAATGGACGGTAACCTCGGACTTTGATCCGGTCTGGCCTACAATTTATATTATTTATGATTTCAACCGCAGCTATTCTGTCCCTTTATCGAGCAACTATCTCCAGTCTTGTCCAAGTTGTCCTCTCCAGCTTCTAATCAACATCCGTCGGGAATGACGCCATCGGGTGTGATCCGAGTCCGTCGGATCACTTCCCTTAGCCTTATCCCCGAGGGTTCAGAGCAGAACGAAAAAAGGACGTTAAAGACAGAAGATGGGAGGTGAAGATCCTTGTACCAGCGGCTACTATCAATGGTTGTGCAAGTCCAAGGAATGAATAGGCTGAAGGAAGCATAGCAGTAGCTTAGAGGAGTCTGCATTGCGCAAAATATATCTTTATATTGACCATGCAACGAGTGGCATACACTTTGATTTCTGCCTCGAGGAGAGTGAGAGTGCCAAAGAAACAGTATGACCACGCTCAGGTGTAAACAAGATCCTCCTAGCTGAAAGGTGACAGACAGATGTCAGGGAGAGTGTGACTCAGAGCTATTGTTGTGTTGGCTGTCTCTCCACCATATCTACTCACTGCCAACAAACTCATTGATGCAATCCACATTTCTCCCTTCCACACAATCCATCATCATCAAAATCAACATCCTTGTTTACATCGCATTGCTTTTTCTCATAGTGGTTTTCATAGTGGCTCATCCCTACCTATATCGATGAGAGTACTATAGTTTGCCACCTAGTCTTCTGACTAGAGGTAGCACAAACATCGTCACTTTGCCGGGCTCGTTCGACAGCAGTCTACCGAGCAGGACAAACAAAATATCGACATCATACGCTTTGTCTTGCCCTCCTCAACGATTGGATAACCATCCATGCAACTCAATGGGCAAGAAACGTTGATGACGGCGCCGAAAGGGGGCTGAGTGGTCACTCTTCGCCTGACCTTTTCTGCTCGCGTGGAATGGATGCAGTGTCCATGAACAACTGTCATGTCTGTCAATCCTACTGTAAGTGGCGTTTTCATGTCTGCAAGGCTCTCTCCGCATCAGCCTTTCCTGCGTCAGGAGACGATGATTCGTCCGTCCAACATAAACCTCGACACTAGCGTTGACCCAGATTGGTTGTCCAGTGTGTCTTTGTCCGCTGGCGCGGGCGTTTACAAACCCACAGCATGCGATTACCACTAGCCTTCCCGACCAAGTATCATCATATTTCGGTGCCTGTGGAGTGTTGACATGTTCGAAGCATCGCCACTCATTCTCACAGTTACACATCAAAATCGACCAGACATCTGTACATGGAGGTTGATTCGCTGCCTATTAACGCCCAACCCCCGAGTCTGTGCTCTGATAGGGCCGCCAAGATGAAACACGCTGCCCAACTAGGCTCTTTACGATATTTATATACCAAGCTCTCTGGCGCTGGCTCTTCCTGGTTCTCTTTGTTCCCATAGACCCAGGGACGATAAGTTTTCTTCATCTTCTTTCTTGTATCATAATCTTGTACACTACAGCTGCCAGCCTCCCGAGGATCCCCCTGGACAACATTCTGATACTTGCGTCCGCTCACAGTTCCAGCCTGGTATTCAGTTTATCGACACATCTCTCTGTTCGATCTCTCCGACGCCTACACAACTCCGAGTGAGTGTGAGAAATCGACGGTGATACCATGCAAACCGCCACCAGGGAAGGATATCTAATCAGCCGTGCCACTGCCACAGGATAGCGTTTGCCAGTTTAGCTCCTCTGAGAGAAAGATTTGCCTGTCTTGTTACTCCCCTGGACGTCACCACGCATCTACCTTGGACTCATCGCGGCCGACAATGCCTCGATTTGGGCGCAAGCGGTCTCAATGGCCGCCACCTCCCTTGGTGGAGGACGAGGCCACCTCCCTCTCGCGGGAGCTCCACGGAATGTCCATGCTAGGAGAAAAGCCCGGAGTTGAAGGTGTCTGTGCCCGAGGAACCATTGACCAATGCCCTGTCATCCTGGATGCGCCTATTTTCGAGCCTTCGAAGACTAAAAAGTATGACCTGGATGAGTGCAGCCGTGAAAGCAGTTCTTCAGATGATAGTGCAGGGCCAGCCACGCCACCTGAAAGATTTGTACAGGATCCACTTCTCCACGTCGTTGATGATTCCCAGGGATTCCACTTGACGCCTCCTACGGTGCCTGTCCCCTTGCCGGTCAAGGAGACAAGGCCTCAAACCCAGCCAAGGAAGGAGGAGCGTCAGCCGCCCAGGATGTCCCAGAAAACCAGCAGCAGCCGTCAAAGAATGGAGTCGAGTCATACCATTTCCAGAACCCAAAGTGCAACAGGGAAGACGAACATTGATGTGAGAGCGACCGCTCAAGTCCCTCCTCGCCACCCTGAGCGCGTCTCTGTGCCTGCAAGGAACGGACAAGGTTCAGTGGGGATGCCTGCCGAGAAGACTACTTCTGCCGCGGTCCCAGAACGCTCCGGTAGCGTGAGGAATGGGCGTCGACAATCCCCCGGCGAGTCTCAACAATCGCGCTCATCAGCCGGGTATGTCTCCGATTCGGCTGCAAACAAGTTCCCAATGAATCCTGGAACTGCGCATCAGGAACCGCCTTCGCAGTCAAGCACGAGAGCTCACGCTGTCCCTCCCACAGGATCGGGCTTGGCTGAAAGGTTGGAAGAAAAATTGAGACAGCGACAGAAAGTTCGCGAGTCTGAAAGCTCTACTCAAGCAAGTGGACTGCCTTTTGCTCGTCCTACGGGTCCCACCGAACCGCCGTCCTCCGAGCCTCCTCAAGCTTCTCGGTGCACTGCACCTCCTGAGCCAGTGCCACGAGCTACTTCTCGCGCAACTCGTTCTAGAGCTTTGTCCACCCCAGCGAAGCCGACACCGGCTGCTCCCTGCTTAGAGGAAGTTGACCCGTTTCCTGCTTCACTCCGTACAGCGACGACTGAACCAATGCCCCCTGTATCATCTCAGTCGACAACAAAACGGACAGTATCCTTTTATGGCGACCAAGAACAGGAGCGCGAGCGATCAAGATCCTCAAGACGGCCGAGTCCTTCCAAAGCACTGGTTCGCCAGCCTTCCCCAGAAGAAGCTAGCCCCTGCCTTCTGCCTTGTCCGCGGTCTGTCCCTATGACCGGGTACCAGGACTGGTATACCATTAAGGGGATGGAACATCTTGACATCTGCCCTTCGTGCATGAAACAGATGCGCAATTCGCGATTCCAAGACTTGTTCATTCCCGGTTTACCGGTGCCACGTGGACAGAGAGTTCGGTGCTCGATGAGTGAGCCGTGGACACGACTTGCCTGGATGCAGACCATCAAGAAGCAGTATGAGACTTTGGACATGCTCCGGCAGATAACCCGGCCACCGCCAGGAAGCAAGCCATGCACGGGGCGCATCATCAGCGATCAGTTCTGGTACCGAATCATCGACCCGGAAACAGGCATGTACCTGCCAAAGTTCAACGTCTGCTCCGCGTGTATTCGCAACCTGCGCATTCTTATGCCGCAGTACCGCGAGACTTTCACGAGAAGCACGACGATGCAGGAACAGGTCTGTGATTTCGTGGCGGACAGTCCGCGGTTCGTCCAATACATCGACCTGCTAGACATTGCTGCAAATCGCGCCGAGCTTGAACGCTCGCCGCGGCCCGACATGACCGAGTTCCTGGCTTACGCTCGCCGCAAGGTCGTGCTACGGGACTGTCGCCGGGATCGACTGGTTCTTGCTATGTGGTACTACATGCCGCAGCTGCCCGAGTTCACGGTGTGCGAGGATTGCTACGACGACGTGGTGTGGCCGCTGGTGAAGGCGAATAAGCCCATCGCGCGGGAATTCTTGACCAGGATGCGACTCGCGCCAGGGGACGCACCGACTCGATGCCGGGAAGCCAGCTGCCAGCTGTACTCGCCCCGGATCCGGGCCAAGTTCCGCGACGCCGTGCAGCGAAATGATCTGGCGTACCTGAAGCTGATCGCACTGAAGCGCTACGACGTTGAGCAGCACATTCGGGAACGTCGAGAGGAGTTGTTGGAGGAGGAGCGCAAGGGATATGACTGTGACGCTGAGCTGCGGAGGACCTTGCTCGAGTGGAGAAGATGGGAGTGAGGGTGAAACGAATCATATCGACGGGCTATCGCGGGCGATCAGCCTTGTTCTCTAGATTATCACATGTACGGTATATGGGTATGGGTATGGGTATGGGTATTCTATAGACATGTATCAACAACGGAGCGAAAGTATGCAATGCAATGCACCAGATCAAACCTGCTCTGTAGCCTCGTAGCTTCACCTCATGATCCCTCCGCCTCCCTCACCAACTCACTCAGAGTCACAACTTGATACCCTCGCCTCTTCAACTCAGGCAAAACTTTTCTGAGCATCGGCCGCGTCCAGCTCCTCCGATCATGACAGATAATCACACTCCCCGGCCGCACCATACTCAGCACATGCGCCGCATTCACCCACGCATACGGAACCTGGGGATCATGCGGATACACACTCCCCAGCGCAATCCGCAGCCCCAAAGCCCCCACCAGCCTCCTCATCCTCTCACTGAAGAACCCCGACCCCGGCCGAAACCACCTAACCGCCGGCTCCTCGACCCCAGCCCGCGCATACACATCACTAATCCGCGCCTGCACCCCCGCAATCTGCGCCGAGAGCACGTCGTCCCGCAGCGCGCGCGATGGCTCGTCCCGCATAGCATGGTTCCCCAGCTCGTGGCCCGCGCGCACCAGGTCCGTGAGCGCGGCCTCGCGCCCGTCCACCTGCGAGCCAATCACGAAGAACGTCGCGGACGCGCTGTGCGCCTTTAGCGTTGCTGCTATCTCCGGTGTGTATTGCGAGGGGGCATCGTCGATGGTCAGCGCGACGAGCTTCTTGTGCGGGGGGAGGGGGACGTGGAAGAGGACGTCCGGGTAGCGGTGTTGGAGGTAGCGGATGAGGAGGCTTGGCGGTTTGTAGATCAGATACAAGGGGGAGAGGAGGAGGGCAGTCAGGAGGATGGGGAGGAGCATTACGAAGAGGCGTTTGAGTTTCCGGCGGCGGCGGTAGCAGCTGTAGAGCATGGTGTTGTGAGGTGGTGAGTTCAATGTCTTGGGGATGGTGGTTTGGTGTTGGGAGATTTTGGGTATGGGGTTGTTTCACCGAGCAGTTGTACGCGTCGGCAGCCACATGGAGTACGGAGTAGGGAGTAGTCTTCTAAGATAAGTATATAAATAGTTATATAGCCTGAAAAACTTGTATAGATTGTCTATTCAACCCTGACACTGGATAAGCATTGAAAATATACAGACATCATGAAATTCGGAATAAATATAACATAAGGCTTGGGGAGTATGGAGAAGCTAGTTGACTGATACTACTCAATGCATAGCGAAGGCGATCCAAGTTAGAATACATTATCCCTGTTATATACAAATATCCCAGCCCAGCTCGCATTGCACCCAACTCCAATCCTAACAGCCTAGATGAAGATTGAAACCCGCTATATATCCATGCATGTATCATCCCACCAACCCAACTACCTCTCCAGGCCACTTCTTACCCCAGACAATGGCCCTTGGCGGCACTCGCCCACCGATCGGAGCCAGTACCCGAATCTTGCCCTTCTCGCTATCTACATCGGCCACGTACAGGAATCCCATGAGGCTGGCATCGCGAATCTCTGCCGGACTGGCATTCGGCGCGGCGTGTGTAATTGCGAGCAGGGAATTGGCGAGCGTGTTCGGTGCAGGAGATGGAACTTTTTTCAGGGGTACAGACGAGCTGCCTGATGCTGCATCCTCGCCTGACGATCCTGCCAAGCCAGGCACGGAGGGAGCGAACGACGTCTCCTCTGAACGCTGGGTCTCTGGACCGTCCGCATCATTGCTTCCTCCAGGGAAGAATGCGTCGCTGGTGCCGAATTGGGACGGATCGTATTCGTCCTCATCTTCATCTGAAGAGGCGATTGTGTAGTTATAAACGGCCAAGGAGTCGAAATCGAGCTGTTGGGCATGAGGAGAGAGGGTAACGTTTGTGGTCGAAGACGCAGACATCGAGAGTGCCGCCGATGCCGTAGAAGGAATAGGGTTGCCGAAGAAGTATGTTCGAATCTGCGACTCGCGCACTGCCTTCATGAACGCTGCGTCGCGATCCACGCAGCCGCCAGACTTGGAGAGCTTCACGACTGTGATCCGCTCGTCCGACGCCGCAGCAGACGCACTGGATGTCGGCTTGTTATCGTAGTTCTTCATCATGGTGCTGTAAAGCCGTTCTGAGCCTATGACCAGGATGTTTGTAACTGTAAAGGTCAGTCTCATAGCCACCGCGGGAAGCAGAAAAGGAGGAAACCTACTTGCAAACTCCGTCACGATGTGGTTGATAATCTCAAGACTACCCGGCTTGCCAGCGCTCAAAATGCCCGGCGTGTCAACGATGATGCCCGTCTCGCGTGTGTCTTCATCCTCGGCCATCCGCCCCGTCACACTCAGCGCCAGCCGTGACACAATAGGCCGATAAACAGCACCCTCCGCCTCGAGCGGATTCTGCAACGGATAGAAATAAACCAACGGCAGCTTAACAGGCACCGCACTCGGTCCAGACATGGGACTACTCCCCCACCCCTCCTCAACATTCATCATCGTCCGGAACGCCGTCGCCGTTAGGGTCCCAGGGACGCTGAGCATGCCCTCCGCCGGATCCAAATTGACCACAATCGGCTGCCTCCCGACTTTGGTCGCATACGCCGTCAGTATCTTCGCCACGCTGGTCTTCCCCGCGTTCTCGGGCCCCAGAATCAGCACCCGCGGCCCGTCCTTGCCCGTCGCCTTGGCCTCCTGGCGCATCGTCTCCAGCGCGAAATGCACATTCGCGTACTCGACCATCGGCGTCTCCTCGGCCGTATACTCGCTCTGGCAGCCTCCCGCGCCGTAGCCACGAGCCCCCTCGCCGTTCAGACCCGCCGATGCCAGTCCATCGGTCGTCGATATCGTATCGCCTGCGCTGACCTCGAGCGTGCAGCCGTGCCAGGTGTAGATCGCTGCCTTCGTCCCGGAGAAGGTATACGTCTGCGATGCAGCAAGTTCCGTGCCGAAAAGCTCTGCGGTGCCGGCCAATAACTACAGCACGTAAGTAAACGTTGTATTAGCCATTGCAATGCGTCATCGAGGAATGACAGTAACCAAGCCCCTTTCATCACTATTACCCACCTTGACTCGTATAGCTGCCCCAAATGCAACCTCAAACCTCCATTCTGAACCCTTGGACAAGGTAATCTGTGTTGGCGGTGCGGAGACAAACTCCCTCTCCGCTGACGCTTGCGAGAGCTCTAAACCGGGGAGCGACATTGCATCGCTGTACTGCACAGATAAATAGGCAAGTACTCAATTGACACAAGTCTGACACAAATATGTGTCCTTGTTTTTGTGACTGAATGTGAAGCTGAAGGGTGCCGAGAAATGGTGCTGGAGCTCTTGGGAGCTTCATGGTTGCGGTGATGTTTTGAATGTTTGCAGTGCGGATCGATTCGCCCTATTACTTCCAGACCCGAACGTTAATAAACTGATGGATGAATCAACTATTGCTACCAAGTAAAGGCATTTGATTTAACACATTATGCTCTGAAAATGGTACGGTAACGCCATCTTTCTATACATGTTGGCACACTACAACTAACCTACAGTGCCTTAGAAGACTGCCAGAGTCACTCATTCATATCATACTGCATGCATTGCTTCTCTAGTGTCCAACAGTGAGGAGGGGTCAAGGGGCCTTCAAACAAGAAACGGAGACGGGTGCCGTAGATCAGGTATCCAGAAACCAAGTAAAGAACAGAGAGAAACGTAGAAAAGAAGGAATGGAGATGCAAAGCTCCTCGCTTTCAATGTCCCAACCCAACACCTTTGGCAAAGTAAAGCTGCAAATACCCGCAAGACCTATGGACAGGAATATTTCCCTTTGCATTGAAAGGGCGATTATTAGAAAAACCATAGAATATCAATACAGTACATCAAGAATCACCGGGATAAGATATTGAAATGGCAATGTGAAGGGTTTCTTGGAGGAAAAGGCAGGGGAAGGCCAGCAGGGGAATTTCTCAGAGGAACAGGCAGCATGTGAGGGGGAGGGGGTTTCGGTAGGAAGGATTAGACGCTTCTCTTCAGTCTGGAGCATCATCAGACAATCCTTCTACCAGGTAGAGTGCGGTGAAGGGAGGGGATCGTGTTGGACAATTTCCGGAAGAATGGAACTCGATACAGCATGATTCATACGGGTAATCATACTCTGCTCCTGGCCCTCGAAGGCCAGGGAAGAGCCGGGTTGGATTTCCTAGAAGAAATAGGGAATGGAAGCTCTGGTGTATACGGTTAGAACGGAATCTGACACCAGTGGGTTTCAGGTACTTACGCAAGTGCAAAGACAGCCGTAACACCGACCAAGGCACGGTTCCTCACACGCTCACGCTTCAGCTTCTCTTCCAAGACCTTTGCCCTCTTGGCGCGCAGGGCCGAGGCCGCTCTGGTCTCATCATCCTCCTCGTCCTCACTGAGCACGTCGGTCTTGCGCTTTTTGGCACCCTTAGGTGACGACGCTTCGGGCTGTTCACCTTCGGTGGCCTGAACCTTGATCGCTTCCTCGACCATTTCCTTGGCCTTGGCGATCATCTTCTCTGTGTCCTCTGCAGAAGGTGCCTCAGGAAGGCTAACAGGCATCTCGACGGAGATCGTCGTCTGAGTGGTTCTAACATCGTCCACTGTGTCGGCAGTCGTCTTGACGTCAACCTTGACTTTCTCTTCTTCGCCCTCATCCTCCTCACGAATGGCGGCGACCCTCTTCCTGAGAGTCGGCTTGGTTGTGACCCCTTTCTCTTCGACATATTCCTCCACACTAGGCTCGACAGTTCCGTTGGCTGATCCAGCATCAGCGGTAGACGCGGTCATGTCCAAAGCGTTCTGAAGGCTGGCACTGGCAGCACTGGCCTCCTCCGCACTCGCCTCCTTGGCTGCACGAGTCTTCCTCGGCTTGCGAGGGGAGGTGGTGGCTCTTTTACTGGGCGAAGCAGACCGTCCCCTTCTCGTACGCTGCGATGGGGCCGAGAGCTGGGTCGGGGCTTCAATGGGCGGAAGTTCGAATTTCGGAGGAGGTGTAATCTGTTTCTTTGGGGTTTGAGGAATCTCTGTGGGATCGAGCAGAGCACGAACCCAGTCGTACATCTGATATTCCTTGGCCAACTCCAACGCTACGGACAATCAGCGGAAATTCACTTGGGGGTTGCTGGTCATCTCCAGACGTGCTTACCAAGTAAGGGGCTGACCCAGATATTGCCGGCGATTTCATCCTCGCTGGTGCCCTCCCGAGTCTTCAAGTATTCCCGTTCAGCCTTCTCTTCCTCCAACTTCGCCCATGGGAAAGCGATCTTGAACATTCCAGTAGCGCTGACATATCCATCCTTGCTCCGTCGCTGATTGAATGAAATCGATCAGAATCGGTCACCGTGACCATCAACGAAGGGCGAAGCGGTTTCACTCACCATGAGAAAGTAGGTTTCCGGGTGCTGCTGAGGGGCATGCGACGCGAAAATCTCGGAGCCTTTCAGGTCTTTTGGCAGCTTCGCGCGCAGATGGGCATATTCAAAGGGGCCCAGATTCTCAGGCTTGGTTGCGTTAGATGTTCCAATCTGCGTAGGCTTGACAGCGAGGTTTGTTTTTCCTAGACGGCGGAGCGCCAGGAGTTCCTCATCTGTTCTCCCTCCGGAAGGAACGGGTTAGCCCTGCGCAATTCTCACGTCGTACAGCGTCTCCTGGTCGAAGCATCGAGAGCGATTTTGGAGCCGAGGATGCGAAATGAAATGGTGAAGTTTCAACTTACACGAAGGGGATTGGTCCGGGAGGACGAACGGGTTGTTCCTCTTTGGCAGAGATCGCACCATGATGTACGGCTAATGTGAGTCTAGATGGTAAATTGAAGGATGGGACTGCGCCTGAGAATTATAAACGAAATTCTCCAGATGGTAGATAGATAAACTCTTGCGCGCAGGGAAGGATTGCGAGATGCGACGCCAAAGCGGCGGCCACGTTGCAGGCGCGTCTGCGGTTGCTCTCCGAAGAGGTTCACTCCTGAGGATATAGACGTCACCACAGAAGGGTGCGCACACACACAACGGTGATAGTGCCACACGCAAATGGTTTTATGATTTGATCTTGGGCGGATGATAAACTCTCGCGCGGGGGGAGGGTACACAGACAGATCCGCGACGAGCCAGGAGATAGTTCAATTCGCGATCAAAAATACGCCTGAAAGTTGATAAAAGATAAAAGGGTATGGGCAAAGCAGGGGGCACGCAAAATAAGAAGAGGGCGTTTTGCTGGGCTTAGGCTTCTTACGCAGTCCTTACCGTATTGTTGATTCAACAGACTCGCATCACCCTTGGCAATTAGCTATTGACCAATTGAAATGAGGTTCTAGTCACATGAGCTGCCAAAAGCGGAAAGATAGCAGTGGGCTCGGTACATCCCCCGGTATTCGATTACGAGTATGTGACAGGCGGGTGGTCTGCCACTGTATTAATGCCTTGGTGCCTTATCATGAGGAGGAGGGATCGTCCGGTTGTGCTTCTGCTTCTTCATCCATGGTTGGTTCATCCTCGTTCCGCGTCATAGTGACCCCTATCCCAAGCTGAGGTAGCTCTCCTGGTGTCAAAAGGCACATCAACGACGCGTTTATCGGACGGATTGAAAACAGCCATTGCGTTACATCCAGGCATTTTTACTAATGGTTGATTGCCAACATCTGAAAAGAAATATCACCTATATCTCGAGTCTACTCTTTGGACAACCCCACCGTCTCATGATTTATTACAGAGTGGACCACTCGAGTCAACCCAGGCCTCGAAGTTGAAAAGGACTCGGAGAGGAGGCACTCGCTCCCGGCACAAAGCGAAATAAGCGATCCACTAAGACACACCGCTTCATTGTTATTTAAGCCTTGAGGCTTGAATTCGATAACAACCGGAATGTCATGGGTGATATATAGTTTCATTGATCCAAGGTCAGGATCCATTTCTTCCCCCTGGCTAGAAGCTGTAGTGGCTTCTAGWCATTGCAATCCACCTTACTGCATGGTCTATCTAATTGTTCGCATATCCTAAGATCAGCCCACACCTTTATCCCAGTCACTGTAGTGAGTGTATCTCTCTACTCTGTAGGCTATGTAGCTTTATTTTGCGCAAGGACTCCACTGGGCCTGCCTGCTATCATTGCCCTGCAGCGGCCAGCAACAGAAGTCCCAAGAAGCATAGACAAAACCTGAACGATCATTATGATAACATCCTCGATCGTCGTCACAATGGCACAGAACATGGTTTTCAGAGACCATATACCTGACTTGGTCATCTCACAAGCCCATCTATCTATCCCTGAGTGATAATCATGAGCTTCCACTAAATTCTAGGCCCTGTCCTCACCGCCCTTCTCAACATCTCGAAGCAATTGGTATCTCAGCGCCTTCTCCCCCCACCAGAGCGTATCAGACTAACGAAGCGATCCCCGCCAGTCTTTTGGCCAGAATAACTACTAGAGTCCTCCAGAGACTCTCTTGAATCTCTCTTTTGCATTCTTTTAAATTTGTATCTCTTTTGCTAAGACCTCTGTCGGATATACCTCCCTTAGCAATTGCATATATATATACCCACCCGCTCTTATCCGCGGCCCCCCCTCTAGTGCCACCATCCTTGGTTCAGGTACCCCGCCAAAAGAAGCCCATCAACAAACAACAGCTAAACTCACAATGACTGAACACGACGATGATCTCGTTGCCTCGAAGACCGAGGGCTTCAAGGTAGGGGAGAAGAAGACAATTGAAGAATACACAAAACTCGGTATGTTGAGGCTCTCTACACTACCCTTTCATGCCAATCTTTCCGGCAATTCTTCCCTGCATTCGGGATTACCAGTCATCCCCTTACCGCAAGCCCGCCTCTATCTCAAGGCCCCCAAATGCAAGCTAAATACTGATATACCACACCCTGACAGACCAGAATGACGAATCCCTGAACCGCTGGAAAGCCTCCCTCGGCCTCAACACCGGCAACCCGATCGGAGACCCCAACGACCCCAGAAAATGCATCATCAAATCCCTCGCCCTGGAAGTCGAGGGCCGTCCCGACGTCGTGATTGAGCTGTCCGCGCCCGGTGCCCTCGAGGCGCTCAAGGACAAGCCATTCACGATCAAGGAAGGAGCGACCTTCCGCATCAAGGTCCAGTTCCAGGTGCACCACGAGGTCCTGAGTGGTCTCAAGTATCTGCAGGTGGTGAAGCGCAAGGGAATCAGAGTCAGCAAGGACGAGGAGATGCTGGTGAGTAGTACCGATTTATGAAGCGTAACTCGCCTTGTGCGTCGTTTAACCTGGCCTCGTAGGGAAGCTATGCCCCCAGCACCACGGACAAGCCGATTTACGAGAAGAAGTGTGAGTCACTCCGTCCTGAAGTGCATCCAAAACTTGGTGCTCATTGAATACAGTCAACCCCGAAGAGGCCCCCTCGGGAATGCTCGCCAGAGGACACTACAACGCTGTCTCCAAGTTCATCGATGACGACAACCAGACCCATCTCCAGTTCGACTGGTCGTTCGACATTGCCAAGGACTGGTAGGCTCCTTTTTGACAGTATCTATTATATAATGTCTCGTCTTTGAATATACCATTATCAGCGTATTTGGAAAATTTACATGCGTTGGACGAATCTCCTTGTCAAAAATCCTCTGGACATTCGAATCTACAGGACAGGATTTACGTTTTTGTTATAAAGACAAAAAGCTTACACAGAAAATTGAAAAGAAACCTGAGTGACAGTTGATTTTACATTCGGTATATGCCTCATCTGAAACATCTTTGTTACATCGTATCAATGCCATCTATAAATGCTCTTCCGGGTGCCAGACTCCAAGCTTTGCATCGGCAAGCACGGCATGCAAAAGAAAAACTAATACAGAAATAAAGGGTATCACAAAAAGTAATCAATCACAGGATTCTGGCCGTCCTTGTTCTGTTGCGCTTGTTGTTCTCCACGGTGGATATCGTTCTCCGGCGCGGCATCGAAGATGTTGAAGTATCTCTCCCCAGTGTCACTTACTTCAAGAACACTGGCGAGATTCCCGCACCGGTAGCAATAGTTGGGCGCACTCCACACCGTACTCAGACGGTCGTCATAGAGAACCTGATACCCTTCCTGGCAGAGCTGATGCGCCCGCAAAATATGCGACATGCTATTCACCTCGAGGAATTTTCGAACGACCTGCGCACCGAATGTGTACCCTGCTCCTCTCGGTGATAGCGAGAACTCGTCGCGTTCGGTGTCGGGGTCGGACCAGACCAGATCGGCCATGGGACCCTCGTGAGGGATCTCGCGGAACCGATCGATAATCTTGATCTGGTCTATTGAGTGGATCGAGGGGGAAAGGCCACCGTGTACGCAGAAAATCTGATCGTTGATGACCACGCTAAGGGTGAGAAAGTCAAACATGTCGGTGAAGTAGTGCCACACGTTGGCGTTGCCGTATTTCCGCGCACACTCTGTATAGAAGCCGTAGGACTGGGTGACACCGCGCGATTCGTGGTTACCGCGGATGAGATGAACGCGTTGGGGGTATCGTAGCTTCAGGCAAACGAGAAGGGAAATCGTCTCGACGCTGAACAGACCGCGATCCACGTAGTCGCCTACGCAAATGAACCGTCAGCACCGCATCTCCTCAAAATGCAACAACCCGGTGAAACTAACCCAGAAACAAATAATTCGTGTTGGGACAAAACCCCCCGATCTTAAAGATCTCAATCATGTCGAAGAACTGCCCGTGGATATCTCCCACAACAGTGACCGGAGCTCTGATATGCACCACATTGCTCTCCTTCATCAGCAGCTCTTTAGCTTTGGCGCATATTGCTTCAATCACGGTATCCGCCAACAACTCTTTCCTATAGAGCCGCTCGATGCACTCGTCCAGGTCGATGCTAGCTGTCAAACGATAAGTTTTTGCAAGAGAGAGAGAGCGAGGCGCACGGGGTCAACATACCCGGCAACCCTGGCATTGCGGCTGAATTGGCTTCGAGAGAGCCCCCAAGGATCGCTCTCCGAGATAATAGTGATACAGAAAAAGACGATAAGGAATGGCACGTGCCAAATTTTTCAGATAAGGTTCGAAAGTACCACAACCAGCAAGAGAAAGATGATCAAATGACAGAGGACACTATGAGTGCGGACTCGAAAAGGGGATGGTCTGAAGTGTTCCTGCAACCGCTGGCATCATGGCCGACAGACCAAGAGAGCGTGTGCGGGCACTGACTGGATCCGCGATAACGGGGAGTAGGGAGTTCAGTAGATGATATGGATGCACTCCTGGTTTTCCATCGATCAGTTGGCGTCAATGTAGTTAGCTCCTCGCTGAACAGATCTAGGCACGCATGACACCTTTACTAATCACGATCATCCACAAACTGCTCCAGGCCATCAATCATCAACGCACGGAGACAATTACCATTCTGCCACGGGATACCGCCTGCTTCGTCCTATCAAAGCTAAAGGCAGCCCTAAGAGGTTAGTTCGCCACGCGAGGTCGGTCCTTGTGCCTTGCCCTGACTCGGACTAACACTGCAACAGGGAGGATCCATGCTCACAGGGCACGCGTAGGCACCGTCTAAGTGATACAATTTATTCTATCCAATCATTCCATTGTATGTCAGAGTGCGGTATCGTGCCATATATACATATAGACCATCAATTGCGAATCTCCAAGAGGCTACTCCAAAGCCAATGACGTTCCAAATATGGGCAACACACTAGAAGCCGCGTAACCCAGGAGCCCCGGGCTGATCATGCGACAAAAGCTGTTGGGCTTCCTGCTGGTCCTCTGAAGCGCTTTCTTCATCCTCCTCGTCTCCCTCGTCTTCGTCGTCCTCCTCTTCCTCCTCTTCGTCTTCGTCGCCATCATCCGTCTCTTCCTCGGTCTCTTCTTCCTCCGAGTCCGTCACTTCTTCTCCGGACTCAGTTTCCTCCTCCTCCGTTTCAGACTCCTCCTCTAGCCACTGGTCAAGGGTTTTAGTCTTTGCCGCAGAAGCACCTGCTCTCGCGTGGCCGTTTTGTTGCCGTTTCATGGCTGCAGCATTACTCTCGTGTTCCATCAGGGCCCGGTCAAGCCTTTCACCTGCCGTCATAGCCGCTCTTTCGGTCAGTTCCGGCTTCGTCTCAGATTCTCGGAGGCTGGGGTCTGGCTCTTGTCCCGGTTCAACCCACTCGGGAAGATCGTGGTAGCCACTCAGCCCAAAAGGACCAGCGTCTGGCCCCACGATAAGGGTGGATGAGCCGAGAAGTAAATCCTTTCGCGTCTCCGACGGGCTTGGGGCATGTGGAACAGGCTTAGGTGCTAGCAGAATGAGGTTCGCGAGCTCAGTCGAAGCGGGGTTGGCCAAGAGGGCTTTTAACATTCGAGCTCGGTCACGGAGGTCGTAGGAGGAGTCGTATCGAGCAAGGAGGAGAATGTATCGCCAAAGGAGAGTAATTTGGTCCTGTTGCGGCTCTTCTTTTCGCTGGTCTTCTTCATTGCCCTCGTTGACTTCTGGTTCTTTAGCGGCATCATCCGCCCACTCATTATGTTCCTGGTTTGTTTTGGGTTCCGATACCGACGGGATCTCTGCATGTTGCTTTGGAGGATTTCGCAGCAGGTGGTGCAGGTATACCTTCGCACCTAACAAAACAATCTGCTGTTTCACAGGCTCGGGTTCATCCGCAAATTTTTGTACCAAAATTCGCAGAACATCTGGTGCGATATTCCTCTTGGGATCTACTCCTGCGAATTCCCCAACCAGCCATATTATGGTCGCTCTGGCTTCCGGGCTACTGGACGAACCAAGATGCTTCACAAGCTGAATAACTGTTCGTTCATGAGAAGCCGGGTCTTGTTGAATCAGATGCCTAATCACGGTCAAGGACTCTGATACTAGAGTCTCATCAAGGCTCGTGATCTGGCGGAGTAGAACAACCAAGCAATATTTCGCAGTGTTGGGGTCATTCTGCGCGCAACGCCCAAGGGCGCGAACACTCTCACGGACAAGGTCTTCATCCGCACCATTTGAGAAATGTTCCAGCTCGTTAATGATCACACCCTTGAGATGCAAACCACAATGAGGGAAGAGAATTGTAAGAACTTCAAGCTTCAGACGCCATATGTGAGGCGGATCTGAAGCATGCACGAAGAAGTGAGATACGTACTTGGTGAACAACTTTGGGTGTTTCAAGGAGACGACAACAATATTATAAAGCGCAATGTGTTGTATGTCTTGGGGGCTTCGAAGGAGAGCAACCAAAGGACCGACAGCAGCAGCAAGATACTCGGGTGGCGCAAGATATAGGAAGCAACGGACAACGCTGACGATAACGGCGGAATTGCGGTTCTGTAAAAGCAACCTGCAAGACCGGAATAGTAGCTCCAAATCGGGATCTATCACGGGCATCTCATATTCCTCGCCATCGCCCTGAGTTTCACCACCTTGTTCGTCGTCGTAGAATCCTCTGGAAACTGCGCTCTTCATCTTCTGAGTCTTCCGGGGAAAGCATTTTCGTGCGTAAAAGGTCAAGAGGCGCAATGTCGCAAGCTGGCCCCATTCGTCCATATCGACTAGCTTCTTGACCAAGCTCCGATAGTGTTTATGAATCAGATCAATCCGATCGGGACAAATTTCGAGAAATGCGGACACAGCGGGCCCAGCGACAAAGTACTGAGTGTCGCCTAGTAGGGTAGACACATAGCCGATCAGCTGGGGTAGAGTGTTTGGATCAAGGCGATAGCATTTTGGTATGGCCAATGCGGCAGCTTTACGGACATGAGGGCTCATGTCACCGCAACCTCGTTTGATCGCAAGGGAAACAATCTGGCTGATGACCGGCACTCTGATCCCAGACATTGCACGTAAAGCCATTGCTCGCACTTGGGGATTTTGATCCGTAAGCGACTTTTGGATCGTGTTGATTGACAAAAGCGCAAGGTCTGGCTCCGTCTCCGCATGATGAACCAGGTATATGTAGACCAGTTTCTTCACTTCGATATTTGTGTTTGCGACGTTCTTGACGACATATGAGAAGAAAGGAAGGGAAGGCTCGGACGAATACATCAACTAAGAGAGTCACGCAGCGAGACACATAGTCAGACTAAGTAACAGCTCGATTGGGTTGCCCAAAACTTACGGAGATCACCTTTCGCATGCCATCCAGGACCTCACGGTCATTGCGGCTCTCCAGGAGCTTCTTAATTTGAGAAGCGCTGTGATTGCGAGACATCAAACCTGTACTCGACCCTCGGCTTAAAGCGGCCGACTGAGCTGCCTCCAAGGTCAGTTCTCGAGCTGTTCCAGACAATGATCAGTAATGGAGGGCGGAAGATAACGTTCGGCGAGAGTGTTACCTGTTTCCAGCATTGAGGAAATCCTGGAGATCGTCTCCATGTTGTAGCTGTCAAAATCCGCAGGCCCTTCGCGGGCGCACGCGGCAGGATCAATTTAAGATTTTGATTCGTGAAGCTTGTGGATAGAGGAGAGGGGGAAGGTTCCATGAAGATCAGCGGAAGAAGTGCGGGTGACTTGGCTATCAACAGCTTAGGCCGGCGGATGATGCAAGCGAGAACGGTACATCCCGCCATCCAATATTATCCTTATTGTGTCTCTCCCACAAAGGCCGCACAATTGCTATAAGAAGCATGCGTGGATAGGACTCCTTACTCGATGGACTAGGGGATTCTTGACAATGTTCAAGTTAATACTTGTGACTACTTGATTACCTTGTGCGTCGCGATGAAGACAAGTCGCCGGGTATATTTCTGTGATCGAGTGTCGGATTTCCTGCAACATCTTCTCAGCAATGTTGCCGATGTGACTGTGCTAGTCATATGCTCAACGAGAGAAGCTTTTCTAGAACAACTCTACGATGATGTCTCGAGTCATACTCGAGACACAGCCACGAAACACGCGCTACTTACAAAATCTCTTGGGATGCTCTCCAGCTCAAGCGGGATCCAACTTGCTTTCTGCCCGACACTGGAGCATTTTCGGGCGTTTATCTCCATGTTATCCTCTCGCTCTCGCTTAGAGGAGACATCGACCAGTGACCGTCACAATAATAAGCGGCCTCTGATGGCCGTGCTGAATCCTATAGCACTGCATCTCCCAAGTTCCGAGTTTTCTGCCCAGGGATTATCACGGACGCTAGCAACAGCAGTGGAAGTGTGCAACAAAGAAGCCATGGACTTGGTTCTTTGTGAATGTGGAGGTGTCACCGAATCTGTTGACATCGAGTGCGGTGAGGCTTTGTGGTATGTAGAAGTACCGTTACTCAACGGCGCTACTCGAAGGGGGGAAGGAGAAGGTATCTGGAGTGGCCGAAGCGTGCCTGTGAGACGAATTGTACAGCGATGGTTCGAATTCGATGACAGCAATCGCACGATTGCAGAGCCTCTGGATATCTAGACAACCAAAAAATACAACGACCATGCAAACGAGCTGAAAAGGAAAAGCCCCAATAAGAAACGTATGGACCTCAATCCCAAAGTATAAGCCTCAACCCACCGGGTATCCTAGAACCAAGCCTTAACTCCTGTACCATAAACCCCAGACCTTGCGACTCAAAGACACTTCTCCATTTCCGTAATGTACAGCTTGATATGCGATTCCAGCTTCAAGTATTCCTCATGGGCACTTTGGATCTCGTTTTCAATATTTTCCTTGAGGTCGGCCATCTAGACGACCATTAGCATAAGAGAACCGCATGCTGCCAGGCACGGAGTCTTACCTTCTTCTCGGTTTGCTCAATCCTAATTCGTCGTCTCTCCATATCACGCTGCTTTTCTGCCCGCTCTTCACGAAGCTTCTTCTGGACATCGCGGAGCTCATCCATCCGGGCTTGAGCTATCTCTGCCTTTTCTTGGGCATTCTTTCGCAGAGCTTCAATCCTCTCGTTCCACCGGGCGAGCTGCCGCTGCAGCAGTTTCTCAGTCTGCTCCACTTCTCTGACGTTGTTCCCCCTCTCAGAAATCGCTTCTTTGTTC